TATCAATGAGATCATATGATACATGTCTTTCTCTGTTTGACTTATTTCACTCAACATAATACCCTCCAGTTCCATCCACGTCGTTGCAAACAAATATGTCATTTTTAATGAACAGTTTTGAATGCCGGCTATGATGGTTCATTTTATGTGTCAAGCGAGCTGGGTCAAACTTTATTCTTGTGTTTCTGTGAGGATTTTTTGGGATGACATTAACATTTAAATCAGTGGACTTGAGTAAAGGAGATTGTCCCCCATAATGTGGGTGAGCCCATCAATTGAAGGCCTGAATGGAATAAAAGGCTGACCCACTGCTGAGTAAATGAAAATTCTGCCTGATGGTCTTCCAACTGGGACATCAGCTCTTCCTGGTTCTACAGCACCTTCTGACCTTTGGACCAGAACTGGGACATTGGCTCTTCCAATTTTGAACTTGCCAGCCTCTGTAATTGTGTGAGCCAATTTCTTAGATAGATAGATAGATAGATAGATAGATAGATAGATAGATAGATGATAGATAGATAGATGTCATACTGGTTCTGTTTCTCTGCAGAACCCTGCCTAATATACCTACTGAGGTGATCTTGAAATATGGTCACAGTTCTTTGACATTCTTCCCTCCAAAAGGTGGAGCCTAGTTCTGCTATCCCTTGAACCTAGTGACTTGCTCCTAAGGAACGGAATGCAGAAGAGACAGTGTGTGGCAAGGTGATAAAAGGTACTATAGCTTTCTTCTTATTTCCTCTCTTAGATCACTTTCTCTAAGGGAAGCAAGTGTCATGTATAAAGATGTTCACGTGATGAGGAACTGAGGCTTCCAGCCCACAGCCACGTAAGCCATCTTGGAAGTGGACCCTCCAGCCCACCAGGCCTCCAGAAGACAGAAACCCTAACTGACATCATCACTGCAACTTCCTGAAAGATCCTGAACCACAACCATCTAACAAAGCTGCTCCCAGATTCTTCATCCATAGACAGTACATGAAATAAATGTTTTTTTTGTTTTTAAGCTATTATGTTTTAGAGTACTTTGTTTTGCAGTGAGATAACTAATATGCCTATGTTGAGTCCATTGCGTTATTCTGGACCCTTCATTCCTGGACTCAGGATGGTGAATGGTTACTGAGAGGTACCGAGAATCAGTAGGAAAATTTTCATTTCCTTTTCTATTTGCACCAAGATTTGGGAGAGTGGCCAACATTCAGTAAGCCTGGATCAAAATTCGAAGTGCCCTTGTTGATCTGGGCAGGATGTCAAGACAACTCAAATGAAGGTCAATTCGGGCAAGGACAGAGCAGCAGGCCTAGGAAGAAAAGCAAACCCTTCATCAGCATAATGGGGCATAATTGGCTGTGTGAGAACGAAGGTCAGGCTCCCTGCGAGCTTAAAATAGGTGTTCAATATGTATGCATTGATTGATGTTGGTTGATTTATTTTGAATGCCAGACAGACTGTGAGTCATCAGTGTTGCAATATAGCTTAAATAAATGTGAGTTGTGCCTGGAAAAATAGCAGTTCAGCAGTGAGGACCATAAAGAACCATTCAGCCTCTCCTTGGGCAGCTTTGCTTGCCCCACCTGCCGCAGACTTCTGATTACTGAGAGAAAGGAGCTTCCCAGGTGGAAGATGAGTAATGCTTCAGGGAGAAATGAAGGAGAGTCTTCAATGGCAAAGCCTTTGGCAGAGGAGCCTAACCAATTGCTCTCAGTTTCAAGTGAGGACCTGGATTGATTTCTCTATAGGGAGATTAGTGGTGTGATTTGCAAAGATGCTGAGACAGCCTCCGATTAGACTGACAGTGAGAGAGAATGGGATCGGGGGAGGTGATTGCCAGTTGGAATAGAAGAGAAATTTGATACTGTGGTGAGACATGGTTCACACAAAGATATTGCTTAATTTTGTTTTTGCCACTCTCTTGACGAAAACTTTGCCATGTTTCGGCTTCAGTGGAATACATGGAAATGTGGCTCATGCTCTAGGTCATGTTAAAATATTCTTTTCTCTGTTTTGGAGAGTAGGGCTCTCTGTGTGAAGTTCTGAGGGCCACGTGATTAACGTGCTGCCATGCTCTAGTTTCCCCGGGAGAATCTCTGTTTACACATCTTGTCCTAGGTGTCATTATTTTAGTGCCACTTTTACTCCGAAGGATCCTGATTTGGACGATTCGTTATGTGGCAGCCCACTTCCTGTCATAGTGGGAGGGCAACATGGTAGAGAGGCTAGCAAGACGGGCTCTAGCACAGAGCTCCCTGAGCGAAAAAGCTCTGCCACTTCATCGTCACGTGACGTTGGATAAATTCTTTGATATCTCTGGACTGTGGTTACGGTAAAGTGGGGATAAAAGTAACATCTATTCCTGTGGTTGGGGTGAGGATTACATGAGTTACTAGCACAAAACCCTTCCAATTGTGCCCGACCTATGAAAGCTCTGTAACAGCATTAGGTTTGGTTCATACTAAATCTTCACAAAACTCTTGTAATGAAGCTGTCCTCATGCCACTTTGTAATGAGGACACTGCACCATCAAGAGGTAAATTGAGGAACTTTTCATAGGCAGACCAGCTAGATGGTAGTACGTGCAGGAATTGGTCTTGACTCTCACCTCAAAGCTGGCACTTGCTAGAAGATTCCACAAAGTATTCCTCAAAGCCTCTTTATGTCCTTTCTTCATTTTCTCGAGCAAGTCAGTATGAGGCATTATACCTGCATTCTTATTCTCATTCAATTCTATACCAGTTCTAGCCAGAACAGAGATTTGTTTTTTAAATTTTATTTGTGGGGCCTGGGGGAGGAGGACTGTTTCTGTTATCAGATGGTGTCTTGCACCTGCATGAGGTTCACAGAGGAGGCCAGGCCAGGAGCTTACCCATGATGATACTGGTTTTCCTTAATCACGTTGCCCCGAGAACTTGAGAGTCTGAGATCATTTCCATTGTGGAGCTTGGCAGAAATGTCCTGCAGGGAATCTGTGGAGGCAGGCCGAAAATAGCCTCGCAGAGTCTATGCATCACGTGAAGAGCAAAAAAGGATAATTTACGTTCACCCAGCAGCAGAATGACATGGCCCAGAGAGCCAGCAGACCTTGGCTGCCAGGCCAGTATGTTAAAGCTATGCCCATGTGGCCCTGTAGTCAAACACTGGAAGGAATAGGCGTGTCTCAGTGAATACCAACTCAGACGGGTGATCCTCCAGGGCCTGGGCACCTCCCCTCCCTCTTAGGCTTTCTCACCACAGAAGCCTCTTCCCCAAATTATAGCTGAAGCTCTACTTCATAGAGATTAAATATCTGGCACCAGTGGAAGAGAGTATTTTTCTATATTTTTAGTAAAAATTCAACTTAGTTTTGGAAAAATACAATTCCACTGCCTGCATACTTAAGTTTACAGACTTAACATTTATAGGACTATAACTGCTGTGCCATCTTGGGAGAGAGCCTTATTCCCATTCTGCCAACTGCCCTCCCTCCTGACTTTGTCTCTTTGTGAAGCACGAATCCTCAAGTTGAACTTTTCAAGAAGATCTCAAACCATTGCTTAAACTCTGTGTCCCCATCTATAACGTGAGAATAATACATATCAGGGCCCTTGTAAAGATTAGAAGTGATTTCTATAATGTGCCTATTCTGCAGCGTTGAGACACCACAGATATCCAAATACTGCCACCATTCCTACTACAACTAAAGATAGCAATCATGAAAATAATAGCGATAACCAGACTAGTTCTAAAGTATGATTATTTGAAATTAGCCTGCTGGTATAGTCTACTACATCAATATATACATTATTGATATTAAATTCTTGAAGTTATCAAGGTTAATATACGTACCTAGGACAAAATGTTAATATGAGTATCCAGGACATATCTTCTCGTGAGTGCTAGTTTCTTTTCTTTATGCAGAGAGCCCATCCTGTTCTCCCCTGAAAGGGTGTGTTTGTCTTCTCTAGACAAGCATGCAGAGAGCATTTTACTTTTTTAAAGAGCACATTTCCATACCTATCAAGGAAATGAAAGCTTTTCAAGAAAATTCCTGTGAAAAGTCTAAGATTATTAAAGGAATAACTGTTGAGAAAAAAAGAAACAAAGTGTTTAACCTTTTTCCTGAGAAGTTAAAGACTGTACTTCACAAAAGCTTCTGCAACTTCCAATTTTATTCAAGAGCTAAAGAAACTAGCAATCCCCAAGGCTCCCAATTTAATTTCCATTGCACAAAATGCCTCTCACATAAGAATTAATCAGGTTTCATTTCCAATGTCCCATTTCCCTTCAGGAATTCTGTGGTATAAACCTCGAAGGTAAACACAGATATTCATCTACTCACCTGTTTTGAAGAGCCAGACATTCAGGAACGTAAATCATTGGAAGTGACGGGTATGCACTGATTTGGGCACAATTCATCTCCCCTGTCCAAAGCAGAGACTTCCCTTCAGCCTCTCCTCATGCTCACAAGAGCAAATGCTTTACTCTGAGATACCAGGCCAAATGAGCAGACATTTAGAATTTTTACTGCCTATAAGCAGACAGAACAAATCTCAATTTTGTTTCTTTTTTTAAAAGAGGGGGGGAATTAGATATAAGAAATACAGAGAGCATTATCTGGGTGTCTAGTTTTGCTGCTTCTAAAAACCTCCATTCATTGCTATTCTGGAGTTGTAAGAAAATTATTTCTAAAATGGTCAAGTCACTTGCTGCTAACAGTTTGAACATCTGTGGACCCACCTTCTTGAGTTACCTTTCTGTTGGTAGAAGTTTTGGGTGTCTGCAGGAGCAAAGTCAACACTGGCCCAAGCCCCAGGACTGTGATGTGTTTACAGACTTGGGTACTTACTTGTTTGGGGAAGGATGGGACTGGCATTGGGTATCCACAGAGGCTTAGCTTTTGTCTACTTGTGTGTTTTGATTTCCTGAACTTGCTGTTGTATGCTGCCAGGATGAGGGATGGGGCTTCCCACAGTGGCTTTTGTAGCAGTAAAAGACTTAACGGTCTGCTTATCCTTCTTCCGTTTCTTGCTATTTCAATCCTCAGCAAACTCTGGCAGTCACTCCAGTTCAAGAAGTGGACAAAGTACAAGGAAGTGCTCATTTTCAAATCTCTCTTTTAGGAAAGATTGTACAGAATCAGAGAGGATGAGATGTAGCTTTGGAACCTTTTCTTCCCCCTGATAATTAGCATTCACTTCAAATTCATTGGTCTCTGGGGAATTTGGTCTATGTGGGTTGGCTCCAAACTATATGCAGGTATTATAGGCAGAAAAGCTCAAGGGAATTTGAAATGTGCCTTCAGAGCATAATAAGTAGCTTAAACTATCTTATTTACAACATGTGTTCTTAGTGCTAAAAGAGTCAGGAAGTTGTTTTTTTTTTTTAAATTTTATTTATTTATTTGAGACAGAGAGAATGAGAGACAGAGAGCATGAGAGGGAGGAGGGTCAGAGGGAGAAGCAGACTCCCTGCCGAGCAGGGAGCCCGATGCAGGACTCGATCCCGGGACTCCAGGATCATGACCTGAGCCGAAGGCAGTCGCTTAACCAACTGAGCCACCCAGGCGCCCAAGAGTCAGGAAGTTTTTGAAGTCAAAAGTTGCTTTGCTTCAAATCTGATTGTACAGGGAGTACATTCCTTGAAACTATTCTTTTGTAGTTCATTGTGGATATACAGATAATAGTTTAGGAATAATAGTAGAGCTTGTCCTTTCATTCCTGACCTTTGACACACTCAAGGAGGAGAATAGCACATTTGGGTCATTGCTGGAGACCAGCGTAAGGAGACACTGCATCAGCTATAGAAGCTACTTCTGACTTCGGTGGTGTCAGATAAAAGGACTTCACACACGCACTGATGTTGCTGATTTCTCTGGACGTTGCTGCTCCCAAGTATTAAGTCTACAAAGATCTCAGAGACAGTAATCTGCCCCAGAAGGCAGATACTTCTGTAGAACAAACTGGCAGGTGTAGGAACCGATTATTCTCAGTAAGTGTGCC